TTTTTTGGGGACAAATGCTCCAGTCTATTCGTGGGGAGCAACACGTGCTGGGAACTGGGCCCAGCGTCCCATAGAAATATGCAAATGATTTGAAGTGCCAAGGCCATTACCTGGCTTCGGCTAAGAACAATCTGAGAACTATGTCCTTACGACAAGTCTCATAGACAAAGGCACAGTCTTCCGACATTGGTGACTTATGTCCGCGACATTCTGATTTTGTTCGATGACATTTTGGGCTACCATATAGGTGACCTTCTGGATTCTCTCTTGGTGACATCTGGCGCTGTCCATATCTCCCACCTCCATCGTCTCTCCTCCAACCATTCATCTGTGTATGGTTGTACGGGGCCTGAAGCATCGTCCATGTAAGGCTTCAGACCCCACCATCTCACGATTGCTTGTGCGTTGAGTGATGTTTGTGTGATTTCAGTCTATGTGAGTCCATTTCTCAGACTTCCGCTGTATACATGCTCATCCTATATTGGTTGATCTTTGGTTCTGCCCATACTTGGTGAAGTATTCACTAGTATGCAACAGAGAGCCTTTTTTTCGTCGGCGATACAAGAATGCAGCAGTGGGAGTGGCATTATGCATAATCTGCCAGAGTAAGCCAGCATGCTTTGCTACTGTTAAGGTGGGTAGGATGTTAGTTGAATCCCTAGTCGTCGCCATTTAGTCATGACACCCCAATCAACATCAATGTTGGGCAAAAGTTTTGCGTAGGCCATACGGGCCGAGTGTGGATTAAGAGAGAGCATCTGGTCAGGGTGGCGAGGGTCTATCCAGTACCAATCCCTGGGATCCAGAGCTCGATCCTTAGCTGCAGTATCTATCCTGTAGGGATAGAAGGAGGTGATCTGACCTTGATTATGTTCGAGAACTCTCACCGCGGTTATATGGCTAAGGTCAGACGAAATGGAATCAACGGAGGTCCGCTGCAAGGCGGTGCCCAACCCCTTTTGCCCAGTGTGAAGATTCCATGCTGTCAGTTCCCAGTCTGTGTTTGTTTCCATGCTGTCAGTTCCCAGTCTGTGTTTGTTAACTGCTGTTCGAGTGGCCACAAAGGCCCACAAGTGATAGGCGTGTTGTTTTGTGTTGTCTGGAAACCAAGCCCCTGGTAGGTTGGTTCGGTGCACAAGGATCGAGGTCCAGGTGGTCGGGACAGCATGCTGAATAGCTGATAAACGCGCCCGCCCGTCGTGTAGTCAATGAAGTAAAGGCTGTAACTGAGGTTCGTCTTTCCAGGTAGATGTATGTCCATCCCATAGATGAATCAGGGTAGGCACACCTCGGGACATCCAAGCACACCCGAAGGCTGCTATTCCAAGTAGAGGGAAGGGAACACCATCAAAGTTCAATATACATGGGTTATGAAAGATGGGTTGGGTTAACAGGGGATCGATCATATTGAAGAACGGGGGCTTTCCTAGTTGGAAGAATCGCCCTCGAGGCACCAAGTATACCAGGCCAGAGGGGCGACAATGCTTGTTTCGGACAGTACTCTTCTGTGAACAGAGCCAAGTAGAGGAGGGATGGGTTGGAAGTGAGTCCGAAATCGAGAGCCAACAGGCACTCAGCTAAAGTTTTCTAAGCAGCGGATTTCTTCAGCAAAGAGCAGTCTAACTGGCCTTTTGGTGAGAAGAGCCCGATTTTTGCAAATCCGGATCTAGTACTGCCAACCCTCCTTTGTTCTTTTTTTGGATGATTTTGTTCCAAGCTACTTTAGAAAGAAAAGAGGGTTCTGCTATTTTTTCCTTCCAAATATAGTTTGCAGCTTTTCTCTTGAGATGTTTATACACTGAAGGTTACAATACGCAGATAGCGTGTTCATTCCATACTCGCAAGCGGACGCCGTCAGGGTTGTTCCGCACGTGCGGCAGACCGCCGGACCGGACCCGCGCGGCGCACGAATGTGCGCCCGACGACCAGTTACGCCCCACCCCCCCCAAAAAAAAAACAAAACGCCCCCGTCCGGTCCGGGGGGAGGGTGCCGCACGCGGCAAAGCGGACCGGACCGGACGCTCGTCCGGTCCGTCTGCTTACAAGTATGGTTCATACCAGAGTTTGGCAAAAATAGCGTTGTTGATGGTAAGCACTCGTCCATACAGGAACACCTTTGGTCTTAAGACTCTTAACCCAAGATGCAAGGACTGCATTAATGGATGTTATGAGTTGGTGAGTGGGTTTGCCAATATGTCTATCAAAATTGACATAATATCCCAGCGAACGCTGAGTATCTGCAGAGGCAGCTATTTGGAGGCCCCAGTGGACAGGGGGAAGGCAGTGAGAAGGCACCAACAAGACTGTTTTTTCAACTTTTTTGCCAGTTTATTCTGGCTTCGGAGCTCCTCCCAAGTTGTTAGCGGTGTCTGCTCTTATCAGCACCACTAACACTGACGGGGGCGTGTTGTTGTTAAAAAAAAAAAAAAAAAAAAAAAAAAAAAAAAAAAAAAAAAAAAAAAAGGCTTCGGAGACTGTTGTGAAAAGAAGGATGGTACATTTGAGAGCAGTGAGAAGGCACCAACAAGACTGTTTTTTGCCAGTTTATTTTGGCTTCGGAGACTCTTGTGAAAAGGAGGAGGGTACATTTGAGAGCATCAAAAACTTGGAGCAAAAGAAAAAGTGAAGTGTCGTCTGCAAAAGACTGTCCTTTTGCATGCTGAGCTGGGGGAAAGCGTAATCGTATGATGCGGGAGTCAGCGTGGATCATACAATGCAATATCAATGTTTCCAGGAGCTACCCTAATGACAATAAAAAAGGCCTGAAAGGCCGTCCTATCCAGATTTGACAGGCAATTGAATTGGTTGGGCTTAAAAAAATTATTAGCCCCTTGACTAGTCTGATTGTGCCCTTAGTGAGGGCATCAGTCCCGTGGACAAAAAATGAAGGGCAACTCTAATGACAATAAAAAAGGCGTGAAAGGCCGTCGTGTCCAGATTTGACAGGCAATTGAATTGGTTGGGCTTAAAATAATTATTAGCCTCTTGACTAGTCTGACTGTGCCCTCAGTGAGGGCGTCAGTCCCATGGACCAAAAATGAAGGGGAACTCTAATGACAATAAAAAGGCCTGAAAGGCCGACCTGTCCAGATTTGACAGGCAATTGAATTGGTTGGGCTTAAAAGAGGCCATGCAGACCGGCGCTGTGCCTGACTATTCTCGCCGGCGGGTGACGGAGAAACAGGCAAGTGCGGACGGCGCATGGCGGATCGGTAACGGGAGCATT